AAAAAAAAAAAAAAAAAAAAAATCTCCGTTTTTCCTTGTGTAAAAAAAAAAAAAAAAAAAAAAAAAGTAAATAAAATCGTCAAGCATTCACCTTTCGAGCCATGACCAAACGAGAAGGTTTGTGTTGGACCTTGTTGACCACTCCTCCGTTTCCGGCCCCCAACTCGCATATTGGGTCAAAATCTTCATCCTTCAGCTCACCAACCTGAGCCTTCTGGGTGAGGAAGGCCTCCAGGCGTTTCCTCTGTTGTTCGTCGAGGTCCAGCTCACCCAGTTTCTTCTGTAAGGCCTCAAGGTTGGCTCTGTGCGGAGAACACGCAAGCAGGAAGGATAACAGTTCATACATGAGGTACTATTACAGAGAAAACACATTTCTTTTAAAGGGAATTGCGTAGAAACTGGATTGTTTTACAGCAACTCTGCAATTAAAAACTGGGAAAACTCAAAAGAAACATAATTCCACAATTTATCTACATAGATTTTGGTGATTTTACATTGCTACCACAATACAAATGCATCAAGCATTAACATATATGTAGAAACGCGTCATATAATAGAGGAGTAAGTAGCACTTGTTCCCCGTCAGAGTTGATTTAAACTTGACAAAAATGTACTTACTCAGATGCAGCATCGATGGTGTTTGAGGTGGCCTGTCCCTCCCCAATGGGCGTAATGTTCAGGGGAACGGGTCTTCTTTTAGGAGCCATTTCTATTTTAACTAAACTAAACGACGTTCTCAGTAAAATACTATAGTGCAACGAGGCGGGCAGCGGCTGATCTAACCTTGCCCCTAATCAGAGATCTACCTGGGGGAAAAAAGCAACAGGATTCGCTCTAAGTGGCTAGTGACTTGGCTAGTTAACGTTAGCAGAGTTAATGCACTTTTCGGAGCATGTCAGTTCGCTAAATTGGTAAACCGTGTCATACCGATATGCCCTTCAAAAGTCGGCTGGTTTTCGGTCTCATCTATAGGTTGAAAATGTGACAGGTTTGTTTTCTTCGGCTACTTGTCTATAATCTACCTGCTGCTATTAGCCATTAGCCACCTAGCCGCTACTAGCTAGCACCAGTTCCAGTCAAAATCGTGCTCTGCGTCTGTGAGCCGAAATGAACAGCCGTCCTCCTCTCTGAGCTTCCGTCCAGCCACAGCAGGATACGGACACCCCGGGGTCTCCGGTAGTACTCCCTCGGTGTTTAAACTCGGGGGTTGCGGGGCTCTGAAACGTACAGTTGTTCAGCGCGCTGACCGCTGGTGCCTCAATACAGGAAGCAGCAGCAGTGAGTTGCCTGCAGCATCAGACCTCGGTGTGTTTGTGACACCCACTGGGAGAGTCCCGCATAAATAGCGCGAACATCCTGTCAGGCAAGTTCAAAGGACACGCAAGAAAACCCCGTGGTAGATTTGGACGGACACGTGCAGCTTTTGACACTCGTGATTAATTGATTCAGCATTGAACAAACCACGTTCATTCGTTTCTGTGCTTTCTAAAGCGTTTAATGTAGTGGTTGTGTGTCGGTCGTGAACGAGCCGACTCGAAATGCCGGCTCCTTTGCTTGAACGATGAAAGCCAGTTTTTTAGTGCAAGTTCATTTTCTAAAGAGCGACATGACTTCTCCTTGCTTCTAATACTTGGAACAAACCTGACATGTAGACTATGCAGAAAAAGAAAACAAATGGCCTCGACATTAACTGTCAGCATTTGAGCTTTTTGTTGGTTTAAATTCAGGTCAAACACCCACACTCATGTTTTTTTTTTTTTTTTTTTTTTTTGTTGACTGTCTGTACTTCAGTCTGCTGATGATTAAGGCTTGTGCTTTTTGTAGCAGTCAAAACGGATGAGAGCTTGTCCTTTCATACTAAATCATTGTACTGTAATTTGCCCTTATGTGTCTGGTAGCACAGTCATTTAACTTGAGGCAAATCAGAAGGATTTCCAAGAATATGTATCTTAACAATTACCTTAGTGTCTTTAAGTCAGTTCAGAAACGGGGACTGTACGAAATAAGGCCATTCTTAATCGTCTAAAAGACCAAGACATGCACAGTTAAATCTTACTGCGTTTAGTTATAACGAGTGGTATTCCATTATAAGTATTTACAAATTTAATATCACATAAGCTGAGTAAAAACAAAATGCTGTTTTAAAATGACTTAATTTATTAAGGGAACAAAGTTATTCTAAAAATATGGATAACCAGCACTGAAACAATAAGGGCAAAAATAGGATGCGTTTCAGCTATATGCTGTCAGCTTGTTACAGATCTCAGACAAACATATCTATAGAGATTAAAGGGCGTCTGGGCCAATTAAAAAAAAGCTTTTAAACAAACCTGCTCGCCTAATCTAGTAACTGGTTGTGTCGCTCTTTGTGGCAACAACTTCAATGACTGGATATGAGTTTTTACCACACCATGGATGAAGTCTTGGCCCACTCCTCTTTGTAGAGGAAGGGTTTCAAGCATTATGAGGTGTTTAAGGTACACCCACAGGCTGTCCAAAACATTTTCTTTTGTTGTGTTTTTTTTTTCTGCCATTCAACTGGCTAATTGGATCACCGTCCTGCTGCATAACACAAATGAACTTGAGTTTATGGTCAGACGTTGACGTTTGTGCAATCATTTCCTTTAGCATTTCCTGCCAGTTAACAGAAATCAAGGCTTCATCAAGTCACCCAAGGCCACAGAGGCTCATACCAACATTGGTAAAAATGTTCTTTTCCTTAAATACTACTAGTCATAAAACAGATGCAGACAAAAAGTTCTGCTTCGGTCTCGTCTGTCCACTGAATAAGGATCACCAAATACTTGTGTGTGCGTGTTTAGGAACTGAGAGACGGGCCTTGGTGTTCTTGTTGGTTAGCAGTGGTTTTGGTCTGGGATCTCTCCAATGGATGGCACGGAGTCTCTTACTGTCGAATTGTGAACCTCACCTTAATGGAGGAAAGTGAGGCCTGCAGCTCTTTAGAGGTCGTTCTGTGTTTCATTGTGGTGTTTCTGGATGAGCCATTGGCAGAGGAACCAAGATCCCAGCTAGATATTTTGATAGCTATTTTCACATGCAAAGCTGTTATTTTGGACAAACACGATTTTGGTCAAATGTTCTAATCTAAAAGTTTTACTGAATCCGAGGCACAAACAGTAATTTTCAACATCACGTAGCGTAGTCTGAAAAAAGCCCCAAACGATGGCTCGTTAATGGCCTGACACAAAGAAGTCGGATTGCGGAAAGGAGCCGGAATTCCCATCACTTTAGTTGGAACAATTAAGGCACATTACTGCCACCGCGTGGCAGCAACAGGAAATTAAGTTTTTACATTGAAACTCCATAGACAATAAAATGTAAAACTAAAATTTGGGGTGTGTTTTTTTTCTTGTCTTTTTCTTTTTTAAAGATTGGTCTTCTGGAAAGTATAAATGTTAAAAGATGTAATGTTGAACACCTTTTCCTTTCAGACTAATATAATAAATACATTCAGGCTGTACCCCGCCTCTCGCCCAGAACGTTAGCTGGAGATAGGCACCAGCACCCCTCCCGACCCCACTGAGGGACAAGGGTGTTCAGAAAATGGATGGATGGACATTCAGGCTGTCTCGCAAAGCATTTTTTTCTTATTAAAAAGCCTATTGCATACAAGATTATGTACACAATATTGCTTAGTACCTATAATGGAGACTAACATAGAAAAAAGGAGAAGTTAGTACATTACTGCTGACTATATAAACTCCTCTGGACAACAGATGGGGCAATGATGGGGTTGGAAAATGGTTTCGACATTTACAAACATCTGGAAAGCGTTTCAAGAATTTGTAAGAAATTAAATATAAAGCAAAATATAAATGCAGCTGTTCTCAGAGGTCACAAAGACAAGAGAGCACAGAGGAGCAAAGGTATGGAGGAAGCGAACGCTCACTAGTTATGGATATCAAAAATACACTCACGCACATCTCACAATGAAAACCACACTTTTTTTTTTTTAAGAACTGATTTTAATTAATTCAACACATCAATAACAGCTGTTAGAATACGATCGTTTCCAATTTTACAGTTTCATCCTCGACAGGCAACAAACGTGTCTCCACATCTGTGCATTTGGTACAGAGAAAAACAAAACCCACCTTAATCAGCCCTCTCAGTTCTCAGTGGCATTAAGAGTCCAGTGGCGCTGCACTCAGCTTCTTATTGTCTACTTGCCTAGAAGAACTGAAGGCAAATCAAGGCTTAATAAAATATTATTTAATTTTATTGTCTTAATAGGAACATATAAAAAAAACATTTACATCATGGATTGTAAGCCTCTGCCTGTGCTACCAATATGAATTTTTAAAAGAATAGATGCCACTACAAAGAAAAAAAAAAGAGCCTCAGCTGTCTCTAGCTTTCAAACTAAATGCACTCAGTGGCTCAGTTCCACAGTAACAACCCGCACCACCTCATCTTTGACCAGAAGCCCACGAGAAGTCAGAGATCCCCTCACAGCAACAAATTAAAAGAAAAAAAAAAAAAAAGTATGTGTGCATAAATTACTGACAGCTTCTAAAGTTAAAGACCGGTATTAAGATTTATCCATTTTGCCTCAAAGTATCCTTTCTGGATTTATCCTGTTCAGTTTTGCAGGCATTGGTTTTTGGGTGGCTCACCAAACTATCCCCCCTCCCTTCATATCCATGTCATATGCTGTTAAGGTAAAGAGGGAAACATGGAAGACGAGATCATCTAAAGTAATTCCTTTCATCAGACACGCCCCGAATTGTCGTGTAAATCACTGTGAACCTGAGCGAGGGAAAATAAAAACCAATCTGCTAAAACTGCAACTCGGAAAGCACACCCTGCAGAACTGGACCTAGCCGAACCAAACCGACACACAGTGGAGCAGGACTGCAGCTGCTGAAGGCTCCTTTACTGGATTCCTAGAGTGGTAGCATGTGAGAACTGGTTCAAGAATCCCTGTTCAATACTTGCCACACCAAAGAGTCTTTCAAACTAAGAAAAACATCTGAAAGCGTTACATGAACGCAGATCTCTAGCAACATCTTAATACATGAAATATATCTGAAGCCTGCATTTGTAGACTGAGCATCTTTATCTGGGAGGCAGACATCAAATATTTACACTAGTGCAGGTGCAGAGGATATATTAGAGTCTTGAGAATGCAGCAAATAAGATCTGATTTTACTCCAGCTAATAGATAAAACCTCATCTAGAATGCTAAGAGCCTGAGAGTGAGAGATACAGAGAGAGAGAGAGAGAGAAAAAGAGAGAGTTGGTGCAGTAGAAAGCCGCTGTCATTTTTAAACAGGATCCTTTGTGACCCGGTCAGGTAGGTGAGGATTTTATGCAGCAGAAAATGCACTGAAACCCTTGAATCTTTGATCCAGCTCGTCTTCTATACCTAAAGAAGTAGAGCCACCAACCTTGAAGGTACTTGGTTGCAAACAGCAAAATCCCATGCAAGTGGAGATGCCATTGCAAGTAACATCTGGAGCTAGATGTTGTGCAACTGACCAGGAACAACTGCAAAATAAAAAAATAAAAAATAAAAACATATACTAAATAAATAATTGAAACCCCAAAATGGCATCAGCACTTCAACAGCCTGTTCTGGTAATTTGTTTGATTCAAAACCTTCAGTATGAATCAACCAAAAACACAAACACACGAAACTGAAACCTCACTTCGTGACATCCTCAGATAATCTTAAAATACTGAAATCAAATTTCAACCACTTAAAAAAAAAAAAAAAAAGGCACCAAAACTCCATAACCAGCTCCTGCCAGCGACCATTTCTGCTTTGGGCCAGTACCAGTACAGTAATTTTGATGTATAGCCTGCCCGCGTAATAACTTATTTCAACAAATGCCTAATAGTAGCCGTTTGGTTTTGCAGAGAGGCGTAAGTCTTTGCTTCGGTCAGAAGCTGGTAATCCACACACCTACTACTTTTCAACTGGGTTTCTTTGTTGCTGCAGAGGGAACACAGCTGCACAGAACAAGGGGGGAAAAAAGAAAAAGAATAAAGGCAAGAAAAAAAAACTCCAGTGTAAAATTGGATTCAGATATTCTCATTCACCCACTTCTTTCAAACCAACTTCCGGGCCAATCTGCTAAGTGTTAAATGACTGAGGTAGGTTCTCTTTAGGACAATAAAAATTGAAAGCTGAAGACGTATCCAAAATGGATGAATTGCCGAGAGTGAGAGCTCAAGCTTTAAATCAATCTGTCAAAAGATTCCCAGGGTTCTCAAAAGATTGTTGCCTTGTCCTTCAAACATTTTCATGCCTTATTTTATTTGTTTTTCATCCAAAAAGCTACTGAGCAGCCTCTGCTTTCAAATTGCCAGTTCCTAAGCAATGTGACAAAAATCAGATGCAAACATTGAACGCCCATGGCTAAAAGAGCCAGTAATTTGGAGTCTATACAAAGAGATGGTGA